AAATACCGGTCGATATGTTGGAGAGAGTGTGCCAAAGTTGGACCTTGCGCATGGGCAAGCCGCGGACAACATTTGCATGAAATCATCTTCAAACATAAAATTATATGGATCGTTCTATGGATTCCAATAAAGATTTAATCAATTTTTTCAATGTTTTTGTGTTGTTTTGAAAATCAAATCCTATACCTCTTGAAAAATCACCCGTTATATGAGTATTGTGTATGAGTACACGTATTCAATGGTACTGTTAGTGGAATTGGGAGAAAATATTTACACACAACTCAAACACAAAGTTATTTATTTCTGAATATATTTTACAAATTTTTGGATAAATATATGTTTCACGTGTGATACAATAGCTATAAATTTTATATACCAAAATACATGCGAAATATACATCCATTTTGTATAATAGTTCTAAAATGACTACACGAAGGCATTATGGAATAATATGTATACAATTCAAAATATACAGGATATTCTTCGATGGAGAAAAAATGTAATAGTGCCAACATTTTGTTTCGAATTGAATTTTTTGATAGCCAGGAATTGAAAATCTGTTACTTTCATTGAGATCACACCCAAGAAACACATTGAAACCGAATTAGATTGTTGTGTCTGTATTACTGGAACAAAAATGCAAACTAAATATCTGGTTCATTGAGTAATCTAAAAATGCCATATATCGATAGTTTGGAAAAGAACATCTACATCCGCTCGTGAAGATTTCAACAAACAGATGGCACTTAGTTTCATGCTTTGTAGAAACTTGTTTATAGAAAGATATTGAAAAAAAAACGAAAAAATGTACCTCAAGATGCATAATTTTTAATATAACAATAATAAGTATAATATTCACAGAAGCATGCAGAGTGCAGATGTTCCAAACCTTCTGGAATGTAGATTCATAATGGAAATATACTGCTTTGATACACGAACTTAAGCTAGAAACTAAAGTGTAACGTACAAAAAACTTTTCATCACAGATGAAATAAGCATCAGTATATCTTGCCTAATTCCCTACATATGGCAAAACAGTTGAATGATATGTCCCTTTAACACGATTTAGGTAGAAGAGTTCTTTCACTGAGTACAGGTTTGTCTTTTTTGCCGTCTTAAATCTCTGGACTGAAAAATAATCAAGCAACTGCTCGAATTTCATAGAAATATTAATATAAATAAGAATGTGTCAATATTAATTACAAATGAGAATTGAAATGTTTTGTCTAATTTATTCATCATTCTACACGGTTACTGTCAAGAAAAACAGTATTTCCGGACTTGTTACGTAAATCACTCTTTTATTCCCCCGCCGCCTATGCCATATCTTTGCAAGCGAAAACACGCGATTCGTCGTCAAAGCTACGCATACCTACCTTTAGGTAGGTACTGCCAATGAACATTATTTGTAGAAGCCAGAATTTGTATTCTTCATTTGCCACGAACAACGGTACCCGTTGACAATAGCTTTCACAAGAGTACCGCCCACTCTAGTCGATGCATATTGAAATTCAGCAGCGTGGCCTACTTCGAACTCATTCTTGAGTTACGTTTACCTCCAACTCCAGAAATCGGGCTGCGTGTTTCGGGATTGGCGTAATTTATATGTAACAATGTTTTTTTCTAATCATTTCGCTTCTGCCAGTTAACTTTTTCTAAGTTGACACCATCTGAAATTCATTAGAAATGACAGTTTTGTCACATGCATTATTTCTGCGGTGGTTACTCTGTATGCTTGTCATTGGTGACAGCTGTCATCTGTAGAAAATGTTTGTATTATCCAAACTTGAGTTTATTCGCTGTTTGAAAGTCGTTTTCAATGTATTTATTCGATAGTTTATATCAATAAGGATTTTGTTTTCAGCACATACATTTTTCATGAGTTGGATACTCTGTCATTAGTATCAGCTGTCATTTGTCAATTTTTCAGTTTTATCACTTGTATATACAACAAAATATATATATTTGAGGTAAGATAAATAGAGTAGATATCTCTCAGAAATAAAATATTTGTGCCAAACGTTCATGGGATCGTGTTCAAATCCGCAATTGCGGAGGCAAGTTTTCAATTTGACCAGGAAGTCAACTTATCCGTTGGTTCCGTTAACTTTGTTTCCATTGGTTGGAGCAATCCATCAAAAACGAGCCCTACGGTTCTGCTAAGGATCGGAAAAAATTGCCTAACTTTCTTGTCGTTGGTTGAAGAGATGGATGAACATGTCGACGCTATGATTGCTACACACAACGATAAAATGTTATATCCGAAATAGAAAGTAATTATCTTCTTCTTAACCTCAGAACCGAAACAGGACTGAAACCCAGAGTTTCAGTTCTGTGTTATTGACACATGATCAAAACAACTGCAAACAACAGCCCTAGGACACAGACAAAAGCCGTGGAATTGTTCAAAATGTCAACATTGATTTTTGACGTTCGAGTGTTAAGATAGCGGTTCTTCTGCCTCCTTTTTCTATCAACGTAGAACAATGCGCAGACAACTTCAAGTGGTGTACTATTATAGATATGACGAAGATGTTAACGTAAGCACTGCTGGTTTATGGAAATTAGAATGAGCAGCAGGCCACATATACACAACAAATCTTCAACCAGACAAGTCTAAGTATATACTCAACGCCTCCAGAAGCCTAGGACATATTTACTACCTGTGACAGTGTCACACAATTCTGTTCCAGACAACGGATAGTTGAAAAGATCACTGTCATCTGTCAAGCTCTCAGTCAATTCCCAATATACCATTTTCAAACCGTTTTGTAATAATTACAGTGTTCAATAAAAGTTGGACAGCTCACTGACGATCCACAACTCCTTGCAGAAAATGACATAAGCATTCAGTCATATAAAGAGTCGAAAACTCTTTACGAAACCGAATCAAATTATTTGCTAGGGTCCGTGGTTTCTGTCGTCTTCAGTTTTATCAAATTTTCATCTGAGGTTCATTGACTTCTGTATAATCCAACCTTTTAGAGTTCAAGCGTTATTGCCAGGAGTGTTCTGGTTTCTCTCTGTTTTCACGATTTCAGTGTTACGATCTTCGTTCGGGTTTAAAGGCTGTTGTGGTTTGGAACCGTATCCTAACGGCAGCATGAGTGGCTGGCTTCCTCAGAGGTCTATTCATCCTGATGGTTCACCGATGACTCGGGATCTCTAGTTCGTAAGCTGTATTTATGTTGACACTAGAAAGGCGGGATATCTGTGTCAACATAAATACAGCTTACGAACTAGAAATCCCGAGTCATCGGTGAACCATCAGGATGAATAGACCTCTGAAGAAGCCAGCCACTGGTGCTGGCCAAACCATGACGGTCTTCAGACTCGAACGTTGGTCAGTGTTACTGAGGACCAACGATATTGTTGTTTTCAAAAGAGTATTTGTTGTTTTGAAAGAGGATTAGCGGTGAAATATTTGAACAGAAAGTGTATTTTCTTTTGAATTGATAACGGGATAAGATGAAGCATCACTGCCTGCTTGAGTTAACAAGAAGACGGAAAAATAGACGGGAAAAAATTAGGTTGATCAAATAATTTCCCATTCAGTAAAACCCATGCTGGTTTAGTTTCATTAAGGAAGCATTAAAATAGAAATTCCTTGAGTAAATGGATTTTCATTTCTCCTCTGAATATATGGAGTTGAAGATACAGATGTCAACAAAATATGGTCCCAGAAAGAGTTCCTGTCATCACAAAAGGTATTTTCTCAAAGTTTTCTATTCTACAGAAAAAAACTTCGACTCTTTGACAGCTCTGATGCCAAATTTTCAGCCGATTGATTTATTTGGTGAATGACTTCTCAGGAAACGTGATTCCGTCCGCGGCTGGCAGTTCTAAAAGTATGTTCTGCTATTTTATCTTCCAGACATTTTTGAATGAAGGTAGATTTGTAGTTACATTCGATCCATGTGGATACTTTCCAAAAAATGATTGTTAGAATCTCGATTATTATAACAATGAATGTTATTTGCTTGTGGAAACGTGGTCGTAGTATCTTTATGATAATTCTTTTTTTGATCCTCGAGAGAAATTCAATAGGGTTTAAAACGTCAGTCATAATATTGATTGTTCGCAAAAACAAACAACCTTGACTAACCAGGCTTTTCAGCTAGGATATTTTCCAAGTTTTCTGTAATAATCGCATCCGATCTTTCGCAATACCCGAACCGCGGTTTTGATGATCGTTCAATCAAAACAAATCAAATGCAGTATTCAACGTAAATGTCAGAGATGCAGACAAAACCCAACCTCCATACAACACCGTTCACCTACTGTTATTTCTCGCTGAATAATTTCGTAACGTATCTCTTAGACGCAATTGCAATCAGTGAAAGTACTCGACCTAATCATCGTAATTCGAGTCAGCAAAGGCCACCGTCAACTGTTCGGTTCAAATAAAAAAATTCACTTAACCTAGGAATCACAAGTCTTAATATTAAGAAATTCAAACACAGTACATACGAATCACAAACAGCCAAGCTGGGGAAGACTGAGAACAGGTGAAGAACAAATCCTTACTGATTATTTTTCAGCGGTATTCATGACATTTGATTTTATGTTACACGAATAACTCCAACAGATAACAATATGAAAAGATCGGAAGGAAATAGTTTGAATATTGTAAAAGTCTTGAATTTGATATCAACATTAAGATGAGTACCATTTTTACAAAAAATACAGCGGTCAACCATTATGAGTGAAACATCAGTTAGATAATCAAAGCAAATGAACATCTCACATATTTTTTCTGTTAGTCCAATGTTGAAATAACCCGTAAAAATACTTCATTAAAATATTTCCTCTTCTCCTCTTTGATACACCACACTTTTATTATCATGTGTAACTGACTGTTATTTAAAGAAGATTTTCATAATTGATTTTAATTGTTTTGATTGCAATTTTATTCAATTTACAATTTTTTTCATTAATTTAATTTAGTTTAATTTTTAATTCTTCTTTTTCAGTTATTTCTGAGATTTCAAATCATTTTATATAATATCAGACAATGGAAGTCCGAAATAATGAAATTCACGATTATTCTGTTTTTTATTATGTTTTTTATTCTGGAAACAATGTTGATCAAACTCACGAAGTTTCTTAGTGAAGACGGCCTCTTTTTCTCTATAGTTCCTACACGTACTAGATATCGCACGATAAAAGGTAAGACACCGTTAATTCGACTCGAGTTTCGACTTCTGAGAGTTGTCGTTCGTAGGGGAACGTCAGCTGGTTAACGAAAAACATAATGCAATACGTGAAATATGAACTATGGAACAATAAGTCCAATAAGTGCTGCTCTATATTTTCTGTTTTTCTTTGGTAGAAACTAAAACCAATAATCTTCTAAAACAGTATGTTTTCAAAAATGAAGAATTTTTGTATTCATTTACAACACACAGAACAAATAAAATAACATTTCTTCGTTAAACATTGACAAAATATTCACGTCTTCACTTATTTATTACGTCTTATGCGGATACCATAACAATAACCTCACTTTACTAAAAAAAAATCTATTTTTCGGAAATGTAGACATAAGTATATTACAGAAAATATCAGCATAAATAAAAATTTGGTCAGTTTCTGATATCATCTAGTATATTTTAGCAATGAACCAAGTTCTGTGAGTTTGTGATAAAATCAGAGAGGTAGAGATTGGAAGTCACGTCTTCAATGGAGCTGATCAAACAGAAAAGAAAAATTCTGAGTTAGTTTCATATGAAAACAGATTTTATCTAACAGAAGTAGTCATGAGATTTTTTGTTTGGTGTATGAAGGATCTGTTGCCAATTTTTAAATACGACATGAGAAAATATTAGCACATGTTCTCCACCTGCTCCCAACTTTCGAAAATAACAAAGACGGGCCGCTAATTCTACCCACAGCTCTTCCTCGTCACCTCAAAAACAAACCTGGTCCTCCGCTTCTCGCAATCTCATCTCAGCCAACGAAAAATTACAAATAAAGCGTGCCTCGTCTCTGGCCATTCACCGAATATTTCGAATTCTTCTTATGTACTATGGCCGCCGGCTCCATCTTCTTCTTCTCGACCATGGGCATCGATATGTCGGGGTGCTCCCGAATCTCCCACACTAGATTCGTCAAACTTCTAGGCCTCGAGAGCTTCCTGGACCTCTTCTCGGGCTGCTTCTGACCACCAGAATCGCCCGACGCGCGTCCCCCGGAGTTACTCGAATCCAGAGTCCCGTCCAGCTCCATAGCCTGCTGCAGGTTGTTCAAAGACTTGTAGCGGATGTTGAACAAGGGCGAGCCTGACTTAGAGATCGGACTAGGGGGGGTTTCCTTCATTGGCGAAGCAGACTTTTGGCGCAACAGCCTGCTGCGTTGCGAGTGTCCGTTCTTGACGTATAGCTTGGGGAGCCCCGGAGGGGTTTTCGACACGTGGACCTCGGCTTTGGGTAGGCCGTCTCTAATTGAAGCTGATTTTCTGTTCCTCTTCTCGGCCTGAAGTTTCTTGGTGGGGATTGTTTCGATAGGGGGCGGTTCGGGCTTGGTGAGATCTGAGACTGGGTGCGAGGGGGTCGAGCTGTGGGAGGTTATAGAAGGGGAGGGGTCCGAGAAGGGGGATTTGATGTGTTTAGGTAGGGGCGCGAAACCCCGAACGTAGTCGTAAATTTGGTCGATTTCGTCGTAGTCTTTCGAATGAATCGGCACTCGATATTCGTCCCTTCGGTGGTGGGAGTGCTTGGTGCGATGGTTGGCGGAATCTGAAGATGCGCTGCGTCTCAACAGGAATCTGTAACAAAGGAGATACATTGACGCAAAGTCGGTGGTGTGTTATTTACCAACAATTTTGAAAGTGTCAAAATTTCAATCCTCATTATTGGATCTGTAAGGAATTGACTGTTTTCAAAGCGTTCATTTCAAAGCTATTAATATCAGTTCGGTCTGATGTGAAATCAGGAGAAACATCGATTGAGTTACAACTTTATAGAAGGGAAATTTGAATTTTTGTTTTTGGATTATCTCATTTGTACCTGTGAATTATTTGTGGGTACGAAATGAGGTGGCTTCTACACTTTATTTCCCCCAATACCCCAAAGTAACCCCATTCCAAGTCACGTTAGTTCACGACGTTTCGATTGTTACTATCTACAATCGTCTTCGGGTGATGACTGGACTGATTCCTCCGAGAGATGACTAGTTATAGGTCGTTCGAGTACTTTCACTTATCCCCGCTTTCCATTTTCCGCTTCACTGGTTCCGTGGGAGATGACCGTTTGGCGGAAGTTGGCCATTTTTTGCTTGATGATGGGTTTTCATATGTTGCGTATCTCTACGCTGGCTTGGCTGAATACGTTGTTGGACAACATGTATGCGGCTTCCTTGAATTTTCACCTAAACCAATGTTCCTCTCTGTGCAAGATCTCAGCTTGGGACCACTCGATGCTGTGTTGATGGGTCCAAACATGGTCTGCTATTCCTGATTTGCTGGTTTCCCCTTGCTGTGTGTGTTTCTTGTACTCAGCAATGCGAACATTTAATGACCTCTTAGTTTCACCAATACAGGATTTTCCGCACTCACAGGGTATTCGGTAAATGCAATTCTTGGAATCGCAGTCCGCGTTTGGTGGCCTGGTTTTTCGTGAGGCAACTACGGATAGTGTTACCGGATCTGAAGCAGGTTATGAAGTTGTACTTGAAACCAATTCTTCTTATCCTCTCCGATAATCCTCTGATGTAGGGCAGTACAAGTACTGGTTGTGGCGGCTTCTCTTCCTTGTGGAGCTCTTGCTGTCTTCTAGCTGAAGCCTTTTCTACCATCACTCTGGAGTAAACATTCCGTTGGAGGTCATTTTTGATGATGCCTAGTTCCTTTTCGATTCCTCTCTTAGTCGATTGATGGTGGTTAAATTCGTGATTCAGATAATGACCCTTGTGAGTGGGTCTTCGGTATACAGATGTTCCCACTTAGTTTCGAAAAGGAACTAGGCATCATCAAAAAATATATTCAGCGGCATGATACTCCAAAGTGATAGTAGAACAGACTTTGGCTAGAAGACAGCAAGAACATCGGAGAGGATAAGAAGAATTGGTTCCAAGTACATTAACAGAAACTGTTTCAGATCCGGAAACACCGCCTCAAAATTGGACCAGCAAACCGACGAGAAACCAGCAAATCGGAAATAACAGAGCATGTGAAGACTCATCAAACATAACATCAAGTGGTCCCAAGCTGAAATCATCCACAGAGAAGAACACTGGTTTAAGAGGAAGTTCAAAGCATCGGCATATATGTTATCCAACGACGCATTCAGCAAAGCAGATGTAAATGATCAAATCAAAGAGCGCACAAAGATAGTTCAGCATGTTAATCAAATATCACAAAAATGACACAGAAATGATGACGTAAATGTATAAATAATCAAGAAGTAATAGCTCAATGTTTGTTTTGCCAAACTCGCTCGTATATCGCATAATTTTGACCAGTTAGTGCATCAATTAGCAAATTACCTTGACCGGCAGTCTGAATTATCCCAAAACAAACTTCAAAAAACCACATTATAAGTAACTACCCACTTGGCAAATATTAGTGGAGGTCACGTAAACACTTAAGAAACCTGAATTAAGTAACATATCATCAAATAATGATAGTAATCATAAGTTTTTATTCCAGTTTTTATATGTTAAAATATTTATTTGTGATCGAAGCAAATAATTAATAACTGGTTCCAGAGGTATATGATACATACAGAATGAATCTTGTCCTGTTCAGTTTTCTATGAGGCATTTATTTAGGGCAGACTTGATTACCATTCCACTTCATTACGTTTTCTATTAGGAAACTAATTGGAAAGTTTGCCCGATTCATAAGATTATCATTTTGAAAATGTTCTACATGAAACTCTATAGCCCAGTATCATAACAATTACTCTATTTTGACAAATAAAAAAGAGCTATTGAGAATCAATGAATGTTTATCCCACAATCAAGTGAATTCTTTTTTTCGATATGATTTTCAGTTCTGCAGAGGAATCTGCTTCAATAGCAAATATTGTATCGTTGGTATAAAGTGTATTTTTTTTAGTATTCAAATATATCGGTAGATCATTAACGAATAGTAAAAATCTGGACTGGGAGTTGAACCCTGAGGATCTCCTGTAATAACATCCTATACGTCTGACTAACTATTCTCTTTTTTCACGCATATTCTCCTTTGTTTTGAGTAACGAAAGCAATTTCTAAAAAAGATCTTCTGAATCAGAACGAGTACTCTTTGCTATAGATGAGTATTATGTTAATGGTATCAAATGCATTGGTCGAATTAAAGAAAAGTGCTTTAACATATATAAAGTTCATATATAAAATTGTTAACGACGAATAGCTACAACTCCTGGATGTTCTAGTTATAAGAAACGCCGATAAGGGTTTACATACAATTTGATATGTCAAATTAAAATAGCACACCAATTATAGAATGTAATGTCGAATCTATTGGTACATGTATGGATCGCTTTTATAAAAATATCTTTTTTGTTATTACTTTTTGGCTATTATCTGTATAGAAACTATTTTTAATATGCATCTTGACGAACGCTATAACTTTTCTTCAATTTTTTTTATGGTTTTTGGATAATAACGGTGATGTTGGACTTTCTTGTACCAATGATTCATCCTGTACTGTAAACTACAACGTGCAGGTTGATTTATCAAGAAAATAATGGAAAAATGAAACATCCGGCCCGTAGGACCACCTAAAATTCCAGCCTGTTATAACAGGAACACCTTGTAACTTTCACACACTCACCCATTCTTCAGCTCCTGAGTAGGTGATTGTTTTTTTGACTCTCCCAGCTTCCCGTCAAGGACCTGTATCCTGTCGGCTACTTCCGCGGCTAGTTTCGTGCACTTTTCCACCAGCCTGTTGAACTCCACCATCCCCCTCAGCTGTTCGTCGTTCCTCGTTCGAAGGAGCTTCAGTGGGGCGGCCAGGGGGAGAGCGGTGACACTTTGGCTTTCTTTCTGAAGGGGGAGAGCGAAGATATGCTCTTCTTCGAAGACGGAGAGTAGCCGCAACTCGGGGACGAAGTGATTGGGGGACTTGAGGCCGCGGGGGGCGGTTCCGTGTACTAATCTGCAAAGAAAAAGAGGTTTGTTTATCCGTGAGTCGTTGCCTGGTCGACGGTGTTTTCGGGAGACCAAATGGCACTCGCACGAAATGAAATGGTGTTAGAGTGGATCTTTGAAAACATGCCACAATTATATCCTAAAATACATACAATGACTCAAAACTTACCTAACAGTAATGGGCAGGCGCTTACTAAGTATATTTTTCGCTGTATGAACACCACTAATATTATCTTCTCTCGCCAAGGCAGAAAATTTTCCTCGTTGTTCCATACCTAGAAGAATTGTGTCTCCTTTGCTGTCAAGGCACTTGAGATAGCGGCCTTTGGAGCCAGGAAAGACAGCATCACCTGTTGGGACTAGTATTTCTCCTAGAACAATGAGAAAATGATTTTCTTTTTTGTCATATTTCAAACAGGAGAACAGAGTATGTCAAAATTATAATTAATAAACTAGCAACCCCGTTTTGCACCGGTAGCAGAACATAAAACCATATGTATATTGGACAATTTTGGAAAGTGGTAAAAACGAAAGAAATTCAAACAGACAAGAAACGCGTGACATCGAAAGGTTGATGTCACATGTAGCCAAGAATGAATGCTTGTATGAAACTTTCTGAGGGTTGTAATAAATATCAGCTAGGCAACATTTGATCAAATTTCACATTCGGTCATCCCATTTCAGTTTTGGCTCATTAGATATTGAATATTACACCTCAACACGTGTTTCAATCACCGTTATTTTAACACCTCGATACGTGTTTCAATCACCGTTAATTTTAACATCTCGACACGTGTTTCAATCACCATTATTTTTAACACTTCGATACGTGTTTCAATCACCGTTATTTTTAACACCTCGATACGTGTTTCAATCACCGTTATTTTTAACACTACGATACGTGTTTCAATCAGCGTTATTTTTAACACCTCGATACGTGTTTCGATCGCCGTTATTTTAAACACCTCGATACGTGTTTCAATCACCGTTATTTTTAACATCTCGACACGTGTTTTAATCACCATTATTTTCAACACTTCGATACGTCTTTCAATCACCGTTATTTTTAACACCTCGATACGTGTTTCAATCACCGTTATTTTTAACATCTCGACACGTGTTTCAATCACCATTATTTTTAACACTTCGATACGTCTTTCAATCACCGTTATTTTTAACACCTCGATACATGTTTCAATCACCAAGTGTGATTGAAGAGTAAGAAAAATCTTCCTTTCGAAGATGATCATTTGGTGATCGAAACACGTGTCGAGGTGTTGAAATAACAGTTTGGTGTTGGGAAAAAACTCCAGTAATATCCATTACTACACCAAAGGTTTCAAACAGTGCATCACAATGATTAGATATTGAATGAAATTTAAGTTATGGATTCTCTTGATCCGTTGAATAGAGTCATAAGAAACGAATTGGTTTACAAACATCATGAGGTGCCGTATTGCAACAGCACCAGTGTTTATAGAAGACAAATCATCTAAAAGAACAATTTGTTCAGGCCAGTCTCAACACTCTACACAGTAGGTTAATGGACTGACACCTATCAGAAAACAACTACTCCCCTAGCTAATGCCACGAAGGGCGTTGGATTATATCCGACAGTTTATAGAAGACTTGATTAGAAGCAACACGACATGATTCCTGAAGACGCCAATTTCGTTGGTGACATCGGCGTCAAGAAGAGCGTTGCAGTTCTGGTGATTGGAATTGGTCGATAATTGATGAAAATCCCCATCGTGTTCGATTTTACAGTCGTTCTTTGAAAAAGAGACTTGGGTGTGACTTAAAATTCAGTCTCGGATAGATTAGGAGTAGATGAATTGACTTATACGCATGTTTTTTTTTATAATATGAAGAGATCGTCCTGTACCCGAAAAATATTCACCCAGAAACAGAAAAACATT